CATTTTGGGGAGGTATTTGTTAAGATTTTAGCTAACCTTGTTGGTGCCAGGTGCCATCTGTAAAATATTTTGTACTGGTTTTCCTTATATGCAACTGATAGTGTCATTTTAAAGTTTATTCCCCCAAATTTTTCCCATTTTTCTAATTCAATATTATAGCCAAAGTTCTGTGCCCATTTTATCATTTGCTGCTATATTTTTTTTAAGACTGTTCTTATTCTTACAGCCTCCGAGTCTACTGGACTATCCACATTATGAAGGCTGCATTGAATTAGATAGCTTAAATGACAGAGTTTTCAGTCTGTACAATTTCAAGAAGACTTTTAATCTTAATACTACTGCGGTGCAACCATGCAGGAGGTAATTTTTTTTCTAGTTGTGCTTTAGATAATTATCAATGTGGAATTTTGTCAAGCACATTCTCCTATTCAAATATGAATAGTTATTATCAGCTTTCAAAAACTTCTATGTATCTTTTGAAATCATATTCAGATTTTAGGTATTTTATTACCACTTGAAGAATGCAGTCAGTGGGGGCAGAAGAAATTACATTTCAGAAAGACATTAGACAAACAACAATTAAGCTTATTGACAACTTCTTTTCTGTATGGCAAACTTCTTTCACATTTATAGATCTTATATTTCAATTCTCACTGAGCTTCACTTTAAAATATTACGTGCATTCTCTGATACTTTCCTTATTCTGTGGTTGAGCTATCACATTGCATTAAGCAATGGTATGTTTCCTTTTGGTTTCATATGGGGTCAGCCTTTGGAGATAGTCCAGATGAGAAACACACCCAGAAATTCTTGTTCCAACTTTATTATAAAGTTATATTAAGTGAATCTTTCAAGTCTGAAAATATATATCTCCCTCCCCCTCACCTTTACAATGTAAGAAATTAAGGAGCACTCCTTCTGAGATGTTTGCCATACATACATCCCCTTTACTGACGGAGCTACCTCTTATCTGATCCTTACCTAGTCTAAGCTCTTCTTCCTGTCTCTCCAAGATCATTCATACATACCATTACAGTATGTTAGGTAGGACTTTGTGTAAGCAATTGGATCAAGTTATCTTTTCAAAACTTTGAACTGAATTGCTGAATTGATTCAAAGTGACAGATTAAGTAGATGCCTTCAAATAGATTTAGACTTTGATTAACTTTTATGCAGGTGCTGAAGGTTTCTTATTGAAGCAACTTGGTCCATACACTTGAAATCAAAGTTGAATTGCAATTGTATTTTATTTATCTGATATATATCCCACCTTTCTTCAAGATTACACGGCACTTTTTCCTTCAATCTACCCCGCTTCCCAATGCACTGGAGTATTGAAACACTGTAAGTGGTCCCAAGACACCCAGTGAACTTTAGTGGCTGAAAGTGAAGAACCTGAGTTCCCTATCCTACTTTAGTCTTTGAGCCACTATCCCATGCTAGGTCGTCATGTTTAAGCTTCTTAACACTTCCTTATGAGAACCCACTGATTGTGATTTTGAAACGAGCACCGGTGCTTAGTATGATGTTTGAATTGTGGCCTATTTAATAAATATGTTTGAAACAAAAATAGCTTAGTGCAACCTGTGAAGCAAGTTTTGAAATTCAAATAAATCTGTTCATATGCAGGTTGAAGAAAGATAAAAAAAAAGTTTGGTTAACTTGCAATTTCTTTTCAGGCACAGCTTTATTTTAAAATTCATAAAATCAATTGTAAGCTACTTCATAAATGTGTAAGGGACTGTTAAAAACAGGAAGAAAACCTATATCTCTGAAGAAATGTTGTAGCTTTAACATATAGTTTTCTTCCTGATGAAGGGAATGGCAATTTGACTTACCTGAACTGCATGTTTAGAAGAAAGGCGTGGGAGGAGTAACAGATGGGTATTAACCCAGCCCTCTTGCCTATAGGAGACTGAGGTAATCTTTTGAAGCCACCCCTACGGTCCTCCTCTGACTTCCCCAGATTAACCGATGGATCATAGCAGAATCTGAAAGGAAGGAAAAACAAGAACAGCCAACACATATCCTTCCTAACTGCTATAGCTGAACCTGGACTCGCTCAGGCCCCCCTAGGCGCGGGGCTCCCAGAATGGGAGGGAAGTGACTCCTCCCACACCTGTCTTCTAAACATGCAGTTCAGGTAAATCCACCTGCCAGTTTTCAAAGAGAAGGCGTGGGAGGAGTAACAGATGGGACATACCAAAGCTAGATGTCCTGGGAGGGATTAGATGGGCCTGAGCCCCCTGGAGAGTCCAGGACTCCCTGCAGTACCCTCCTGCTGAAGGCCGCCTCCACGGAGGCGGAGGCGTCAAGTCTGTAATGCTTAATAAAGGGAGAAGGG